TTTTTTATGTCAACTGGGTATAAGATATTAAAATATCATAAAAAGGTGATGTAAATGTATGAAACTCCAAGAATCAGTGTTACCTTTACAAAACTGAAAAAGGGGGGGGGGGGTTAAAAAGAAATAAACCCGTGAAAAGCTAAGAAGAAGAATCTTAGACGTCTTTCAGTTGTCATTTTTCTTTTTCTTTTTAGTAGGGTAGCAGTTGAAGAGTGACTTTTCCAATAAATTCATCAACATGGAAGAACGAGACCCATTTGATATCAATGGTTCACGAAGCGACATCTGGTGGGGCTCAAACCAGACAAATCTCACGGAATTCGACTACATTGCGAACAGTACTGATTTCCCTTCTAGTGAGAAGAAACAGCTTCTTGTGTACGACATTATCATCCCAGTAATAGGAGTGATAATTGTCATTGCTAATTCGGCTGTGGTCATTTCATCTGGCCTCATTTTGAAGAAGGGCGTTTCTTCTAAAGCTACGTACCTGTTCTTGGGAAACCTGGCTATGTCGGATGTTCTGACCGGTGTCACTATTTTAGTTGGACAGTTCTACCCTGATTCCATCCGAACTCAACTTTCATGCCTAATACAGCTTGGTAAGTCGAGTAACATACTATGTTTCAGTTCAATGTTGATGAAAATGCATGTTAAGTTACCCTGAGCCTGATATATAGGCTATTACGTAATAACTTGCAAAGTGTAGAAACGATGTTTAGTTGAGTATATGGTACCTATGTCGACTGAAAGCGTGTCAAACAACAACAAAACTGCTTACTTTTCATCACTATATGAGGCATAGCTTGTTTTATTTGCATCTTTCTACCAAGCAGCACTTATGAGCTGTGAAGTCAGCGAAACTAGTCTGCTGCAATGGAAGTAGCGAATCAAAAATAAATAAATAAAATAAGACCTCTACGTCATTCTTGCTTCAATGAAATTCACGTTTTGGTGAAGAATGGAAAATGACAATTTAATAGAATATAAATATTTCAAAGACTCATTTGTAAACAAATGATAATTTTAAACTGTCGAAAGAATTATGCAATTTTAGATTACATAAACCATATTGATATCATCTTGAAACTAGGGGCATCGATATCTTAGTATCTAAAAGCTTAGAATGATATCATCATAAGCCTTTTCTATAACAGAGTTAGATTAAAATTAGCAAACAATACGTTAGTAGTTGTTTTTTTGCAAGACATTCACATCGTGTGCTTTTTGTCCATGTGTATTGTGCAATAGAGCTACACCAACAAAATCACCAACTGTGCTTATTGGTCATGTGTATCATGTAATAATTAGGCATCGTGCAACAAAGTCATCGTGTGTAGTTATTAGTCGTGTCTATTGTGCATAGGGATAGCCTTATACAGAATATTTGCGAATTTTTGTATCTGATTGAAACGATACTTAGTTACAATTAAATGGTTAGTAATGTGTCATATTTCATTCTAAATTGACTTCAATTAGTTCATGAAGAGGGCTATAGGATAATAGTTTTAGCGACCAATGGCGGACAGACCTGATCACACATTAAGTTACTGACTTATATATAGGGGCTGTAAATAATCTGATTTGGAGAAGGGGTCACGATGGTAGTTTGTTCTATGGTAATCCTACTGTTTTCTGTGATTATCTATTACCTCTAGGTTATTTAGCACGTTTTGCTAAACAGGGCATTGCTTATGTGTTTCAATATTTTTTGTAATTTTAGTAAAGTGGAAAGTAATACAACCTTTGTCGCTTGTTTTGATCTGATCAAATAATTTTATAGAATTAAATATAAAAGCGATTAATAATAAAAAATGTATACGTGGTTATTTTATTCTCTTTTTTTTTTCTCCTTTTTTCTATTACCACTACGTTAGAAATCATTTTGTGTGAAATCTTATAAAGTCCAATGGATAAAAAAAACACGTGATTACTAGTGCTTCTAGAGTTTAAACTTCTCACAAGCAAATATGAAAAAATGTACGTAAAACAAAACCTAGACTAAACTGTACTTTAAAGACCTGCATAACATAGCATCGATACAAATGTGTTTACACGTGAATATTTAAATAAGTCTTTTTCTTTTCTATTTCTAGGAACCATTGTTAGTGCAACATTAGCATCCAGTTGGAGCATTACTTTGATTGGTATTGACCGTTTTATTTTCATAGTTTATGGACTGTATTACAATATTTGGATGACGACAAGACGCGCCAGGATTATGATTGGAGGCGTGTGGTTTCTATGTTTTTTGATTGGTTTTTCTCCGGCTATGGGCTGGTCCTATCCAGGCGACGGGTCAAGGTGTTGGTATGTCTCAGTAGTGAAGCCATCAAATCTCGTGTTCACTGTTGTCGTTGGAATATTCTTGCCCCTTGGATTCATTACTGTATTGTACTCTTTCATACTGTACAAGGCCATTCATCAGGTGGACATCAGGAAAGAGGGAACGGAAGAGAAACCCAAAGAAAACATACAAATGTCTGAAAGTCGTGGTCAGCAAACTTCGAGAGCTGTCACGTCTGAAGATGGTAATCGAGGTCAGAATTCAGCAACTGGTGACTTGAACGTTGTCAAGAAAACGAAGAAGAAATGGAAAGCCATCAAAGTGGTGCTGTTTACACTTGGAGCTTTTGTAATATCGTGGTTTCCTTATTTCATCGCTTCATTGATCTATGTTTTTCGCCCGAGTTTGAAGTTAGCTGTGGCCATAGCCAGTATTTTGGCAATGCTCGGGTTCTTAAATTCCTTCCTTAATCCTGTTATCTACGCTTGGTGGCACAGAGGACTACGCAAGTTCATCATGGAAGATTGTTTGTTTTGCAAGAAGAAGAAGAAGAAGGCGGTTTATCGTCCTGGAGGTCCTAGAAGTAAAACTAGTTTGTCCAGTACTTCCACCACCAAAATCAGCACAAATTCGTCCACACTGAGCGAACCCCGATCCCCTGGTGCTTCACAAGCGTAAAACAGAAACGGCGCAAAATTGCACGTATCATTTAGATTTTATATGAAAATATAGGACGTACAGCGATTACATCGCCTTTGGGATTAGAGTTTTGTCAACGTCTTTGTTTTATGGCCATATTTTAGTTACTATATGATAAGTACATATAAGTAGTTTTCGAATTTGTATCACTGAAGCAGTACAGAGGTGTGTTTCGGAATACGGTTTTTGTAAAACGACACGATTGGTCGTATTTGCTAAATCATTTTGACAGTATTAACTTCATCAAAAGAAAGTCATCTCTTGTGGATTTCACCAAAGCTTAACAACGTGTATCTCATAAAGGTAAACTTGCATCAGCTTTTGCTAAATTGTTTTAAAAAAGTAATTAAACTTGAACGTCGAATGCATTTTAAATACATTTTGTACCATATTTTGTGTTTGTAACAGTGTAATGTGTTAGCAGATATGTCGCTTGTATCATTTAAAATCTCTTTTGAAGAAAGAACTATATAGTATGGGAAACGAATTTGAAGAAATTTATAACGTTAATTAAATGGAAAACTCGAAGAAGTCACTTGCTCCGAAAGATGTACAGATGGCGCCACCATCTATTAGTAATGAAGCTTGGTGCTTTTGTGCAACATCTGGAGAAATTATGAAGCGTGCAATAAAAGAAGAACAACAACAAAGACTTGGTGAAAGAATTAAAAAGTTGATAGAAATCAACGAAAGTATCATGAACAACAGCAAGGAAATTCACAATTTTAAAACAAAAATGAAGACGTACATAAATCCTATTCGTATTTAACTTTTCACATCGAACTTTTTTTTTTTAATTAAGAATTTCAACCAAGTGAACTTCTTGAACGCTGTGTGCTTGTTTTATTATTATTATCGATTTTTGATTGATAGCTTTGATTTTATAATATAATCATATAATGAAATATATGTTCTTGCTGAGAATAGACGCCCATCATCCAAATATTTGTGTTACGTATGTATAAATATTAATATAATCAGTTATTCTTTAAAAAAAAACAAATAGTATATCTATAATATTTTCATATGTTTTTGACAAATAAACATTTATTTGAATGCTGGGTTGTTTTACGGTTTTCGTTAAATATTGTGTCGTAATATTTATTTGCTTTGGCTTGTTTTGAATTTCTCTGCAAAGCTACTCGAGGGCTATCTTGTTGTCCATAATTTAGAAGTGGTAGACAAGGGAAAAGGCAACTAGTGAACACTACCCACCACCAGCTCTTGGGGTACTCTTTTTACCAACGAATTGTGGGAATGACCTCATATCATAAAGCTTTCATGGCTGAAAGGACACTAGAATCCGGGTTTCGATACCCGTGGTGGGCAGAGCACAGATTGCCCATTGTGTAGCTTTGTGCTTAACTTCAAATAAACAAACTGAAAAGACAAGTATATTCGATGAAGTGGATTCGAATCCTCGACTCGCAATCGTGAGTCGAGCGCCCCCTAGCGATCTTTACTTGTAATCGAAAAAACACTTATTAAGAGAAGGCACTCACCGTTCGCTAGAATAAAGCAAAGTGAAAATGTGGCATAGAAAGTTAATTTCCGTAAATATACTCTTTTAAAGTTAGTTTCATTGCGGATGAAATAACTTCTATAGTGAATATTTATCTCTAGGAAATTTGTTTATTTTCACCCTTATGGATCCTTTTCTTCTGATGCTAAATCAACGAGTTGAATGTTGTAAGTATTTTGGATTTATGGTATAGGAAACTTGTTTATTTTCCTCCTTATGGATCCTTTTCTTCTGATGCTAAATCAACGAGTTGAATGTTGTAAGTATTTTGGATTTATGGTATAGGAAACTTGTTTATTTTCCTCCTTATGGATCCTTTTCTTCTGATGCTAAATCAACGAGTTGAATGTTGTAAGTATTTTGGATTTATGGTATAGGAAACTTGAATTTTACATTATGTAAGAGTGTGTCAGCTAGATTATTAACATCGCCAGTGGTCAGTACACGTAGCGATGTTAAGCCTGAAACACATATGTGTTAATCTAATGTTTTAAAGAAGGCTACAATGTTAATTGACCAGAGAGTCGCGTGTAGAACAGGTATTAGGTGAATTGGGGTAAATTACGACATTTTTTTATTATTGTTAGGGCCGGGCGTGGCTTAGTTGTTATTATGTCTTGACTGTGAATTCGAGGGTTCGTCGTGTCAACTCGTTACTACAATAACGCATCCTGTACTTGTGCACCGTATAATAAGTAGGAAGGTTAAATCCTATTATTCGGTCAGATAACAGTAGCATAAGAGTTAGCAGTGGGTGCTGTTGACCAACTGTCGTCTTTCTAGTCTATCACTTCAAAGATCGGGGTTATTATGTATAGATAACCAACGAGTACCTTTACACAACATTATGACAACAAACAATCTTTTTATGTGAATTCCACACAGATTTCACGCAACACATACTGTGAAACATATTATTACCACATCATCTATTCCAGTGTGAATAAACACACAACAATGAATGGAATCTACCTTATGTGATAACTGTGTTTTTCACAGTGTGGGGCCCGGCATGGCCAGGTG